CGGAACGGGGAGAAGCAACTGAGTGAAAAGAATGGATAAATAAAACAAAATATATGAATTAAATTTATAACTCACAAAGCGAGGAGGCATCGGCCTTGAGGTTCTCTAACTCCCGATTCCTTCTAATTAATCGTGGAGGAGCTACGAGCGCTTTGGAAACAGAGGTTGAAGATTGGATCTCCAAGGGTGGTGAGGAAGTAGTGGCCTTCAGTGCAACCGCCGATGATTCTTTGCCACATAATGAGGCAAAAACATCCAAATCCTTAGACGAAACCATACGCATCATTGCGCTTCCCTCACGAAAGCGTAAACAAAACGGAATTGGAATAGCAGGGAATTGTTCGAATTTGTGAACACCCTGTAAATTAAATTAAATGAGAATGAAGAAAATGTAATAGAAAGGGAACACTTACTTCAACTGAAGAACGGTGCTCCGGTGGAACCCCCCATTGTTGCGTCAAGTTATCACGAAGAAAAATGGGAAGACTAAGAGATAGGGATTCTGCCGACAATAGAACTTGCTCCACGAATAAAGGGCAATTAGCCCGACCAATCCAGAAGTCCCGGATATAGACCTGGTGAAAACCATTAATATAAACGATATAAGAGGGGTTTTCAGTTACACACCAAAAATGGTGCAGCCTCCTCGAAAACATCGTAATCTCCCGACGACTCCGTGGAAGGAGAATCGTCCGTCAAAACCTGTAATGTTTGAACTGCCATCTGGGCAGAACAATACAAATCCAAGCCTGATGCTACTGACAAAGGGCGCAAAGTTTCGGAAGGGAAACAGAATGGAACCAAAGAGCGAGGATACGAAAAGGCAGGGAAGGGACCAGATCCATCGTAATCCAGAGAGTTACTTGAGTCGATGATAGGAGGGGAATAATCGCCTTGTTGAAGTCATTGAAACACAGTGCTTTCAAAGAAAAGAGGCAGAGTAGATTTAAAAGAAATACCCGCAAGCATCACCTGGGCCTCCATTAGAGAGCTTGGTAAACGCATGGTAGAGGCAGAAGATCGAGTTTGACTCGAGGTTGAAGCCATTTTGAATTAATAAGAACGAGATGAAAGAAGGAAATGAAGGGAGAAAACGGACTTCAACGAAAAATTTGTTGAACCCCGTGCCCCGAACCAAATAAAGGTACACACTGAATCAGCGTGTACGTCAGAGCACCTCTCCGTGAAATGGAAGCTCGTTCTGTGACTAGATGATAAAAAGATTGTGAATTAAAAATTCGAAATGTGATAGGAATACCAAAAAAGTATTCAATTCAAATTGAGCGCTAAACTGTTACGATTCGTAGCAGGCGTGTGAATAAATTGATAAGATGAGTGCTAGAAACCCATTTGAGGGCATCCAAATTGATTGGAGAGCACGGAGAAGTAGAGATCCAAACCCAGTGAATTACATTAAAAGGAGATATAGTCTTGTCGAATCAATCTAATAACAGATTGGGTATCCTTTCCCTATACAAAACTACGAATGACCGAGGACGGTCAAATTCTTTAGTTTGGGGGGGATGACACGCCTAAATTTTGGCTAGACGTCTATGCTGTGAATTGTGACATTTTCACATATAGATTTGTATCAAGAGGACTGTAATTGAGACCCAGATTGACAGTCAAAGTCAATACTGAATTAGTCTAATAAGTTGAAGGGACCATATACCCATACTACCACAAGTTGGTTAGTTTACCCATCCCCGATACTACCTTCAGATGACAGTCTACCTGTTTGTCAAGCAGGATTATACCAGACTCGGACTACATCCGAAGGATGACCATTCATGTATGACATACCAAGGGTATTCTTATTGGACCTTACACTGGCAGGAGTTTGGAAGAACTTACTCAAGTGACCATGAGCTGAGGATTGACTCGAAATGACTTTCTAGAACTCAGGAATTATCAAATACTCCTTCTAGAACGAGATCATGCATTAACCTAGGCTCCGAAGACATATCAAATGAATGTCAAAGAGTCCTGACGTAGAAAATATTGAAGAACGCAATTAAATGAATACTATGCATAACTCCCTTGATAGAGTATTGTCATGCCCTGACCATAACCAGACCAGCCCCAGCATCAGCCCACACGTTCTCACATTCCCGACTCTCCTTGCACCTCCCCAGGACATCCCTGAGGCAGTACGCACCTCCCCAAGACAGTACCACCACCCCCTGAAAACGTCCGGACAACCATTCCGACACGCGTATGAAGCCCTCCGACACCAGCCCCGTTAAGTACCAATCTCGATTACCTCCCTCCCTCCGATTAGCTACCTCATGCCTCCAGATGTTCTCTTGTTCACTTCCCGTACCTATTTAAGTAACGCCGCAATGTCCTGAAGCCCCAGCTTGGTATATTTTGAACACACACCCTTTTGCATAGGTCCAGTCCCTGTCCCTTTGTACCTGCTAACCATACGGATTTCTCTTTACTCTCTGTTTCTCTACCTCTGTTTCTCTCTACTTCTGTCTATTGTCTCTCTGATCATCTATACGATCGAATATATGCTTTCACTTCAAGTCTAAGCCTTCCGAGTGAGTCCCCGAGCTCCCTCGAACATTACTAAAGCTCCCCAACGCCTACCCGCCTTGGTGAGCTACCCTTCCCCAAATCTCCCAGAGCTCCCTAGCTACTTCGTAAGCTTCGGGACCTCGATCTAGGTAACGTCGAAGCTACCCCTCACGTCGGACTACGTATTGCTTCTCCGTTACCACCTCCCACACTCGAGGACGTCCATCCTCAAGCTCAGCCCCCAGGGACCTACCCTCCCTGACATATCCCTTCTCGGGAGCTTACACTCTCGAGACCCAGTTGCATATACGACCTACTCAATCCTATATTGACGTTCTAGCGAGTACAACTCCTACTACGCAATACCGTACGGTCCCGCACTCTTCCTTAACCTCCCTACGCCTTAGGGACCTCCCTGGACCTCCTAGGAACCCCCTCAAGGGTCATCATCTCGTCGTTCCAGGCACTACTAGGTCATTCCCGTCCTCGGTCGCGGTTCTCGTAGCTCCCTTCGAGCTCCAGCCTGCTCCTAGCACGCTACAACATAAAACTTCATATACCAAACCTACCCTAAGACCCATTTTGACCCAGGTCTTACAAGTATAGGCACAATGGGTGTCTATTGAAAGAGAAGCAATTAGTTTAATCCAGATGAATCAGATTGATAGGATTAGAATTGAGGAGAGCTGATTTGCCTATTGTACTGTGTGACTTTATATCCTGTATGTATAAATAGTGATCTGATGTATCTGGAATATAAGTGATTTTGGGACGACATTGCAGTGCTAATCCGTAAAAAGGAAAGACACACTCCCACCAGACTGAAACCTCTTTGCTAGCAGCCATTTGAGCCCGGCACTTGTGAATATAGGAACATCGTGTTCTGCTCCTTGTGACTGCGAGAAGTTATATCCAGCTGTTGGGTATTCTTTGAACTTAGGATCAGTCATTGGTCTTAAGGGCAAATCACGCTGTGTGGTTGTGCCAGCACATAGTTCTAGCCCTCTGTAGAGGTCTGTGTGTTTCAGTTTTAATTTACTTTGATTCAAACCCCCAAATCTTGATATACCCATATCAATACAACTAAAGCACAAATCATGCTGAATCTACCTTGATCAAAGGAATATACTGAATCCTTGGAACAATTCAAATTGATTGATCAAAGCTTCTTCCCTAGCTCTCAAAGCTTTGCGGAACCTTTGACAATGCTACCCCTTGCTATTAAATAAATTTGATAGCAGTGAACTCGCATATTGTGTATTAGATTGGTTGGTTGGAGTGCCTATTAGATTCCTTCCTTTCTCTTTCACACAAAAACAAGGCAAGCTTGTTATCAGGGGAGCTACACATGTCGGGGAAGTCGTCAGGACATTCAGGTAATGGGAAGGTTATATCAGGGGAGTGGTGGTACTGTCTTGAGGGGGTACAGAGATAGATAGGAAGTGTGGAAGCATATGGTTGGTGCTGGGACGGGCCTGGTTGTGGTCAGGGCATGACAAGATCTCCCTAAATCTTCTTCTCTTGTCCTCTAAATCTTCAGGCTCATTGCCTTGAAGATCTCCTTACTCTAACCTCAGGACTTAGACGTTCTTTGGTCCACTCCTTGTCATTGGCATTACCGCCGCTCTGACTTGGCTGCTCCTAGTTGCCTACTTCCCTACTCTCGATCTCTGGGGACTAGTGGCGTAACGGCGGTGTTGTTAATAACTTCACTACTGTCCCATTCGACCCTCTGCCCTTAGATACCTTGTGGCCTCTGGCATGGCTTCACAGTGTACATGATTTTAACAGTTTGACAAGAAGCTCAGACACGAGACAGAGGTGCTCGAGAGGGTCCACATAGACCTTTGGGACCAGCCACTACTCAGAGTACCGGGGTAGCTAGGTACATGATGCTCTTTTCTGACGAAGCATCATTGGTATGAGTTCCTGCATTCCTCAAGGACAAACAGAAGGATACCACAGTAAAGAAGTTCCACAAGTACCAACTAATGACTGAAAACCAAACAGGGAAGAGACTTAAGACCATATGTATTGACAGTGGTGGAGAATTTGATAATGGCCTGATGAAAGCATACTGCGCCGACCAGGGAATCACCATCAAGAAGATAACCCCCTACTCGTCCTCTGCTAATGGGATGGCTAAGAGAGGTAACAGAATGGTTATAAAAAGAGTACACACCTTCCTTGAAGAATCTGGACTCCCCTGCTCATTCTGGGCAGAAGGCGCTGCTACCTTCACATATGTAGACAACTTCGTGCCAACAGCACAGTTCCCAGACCAAGTCCCCATTGAATACTGGTACAACAAATGCCAGGATGTTTTGCACCTATGTCCATTCAGATGCCAAGCCTGGGCCACACTTCCTGACAGCAGAACCAATGGGAAACTTTCATGCCAGGCCGTTGAGTGCCAGCTGATAGGATACATGGGCTGCAGAGGATACAGGCTGTGGCACCAGCCCAGCTGCACCTTCATGGAATCCAGAGACATTAGGTTCAAGGAAGGAGAGGCTCATTGTTCCAGGGAATACAGGTCCGAAGTGGATAACAGCGACCTGGAAGACTGCCAGCAGGTGGCACCCACCAATGGACCCACAGCTCAACAGCATGCAGATCAAGAAGGCAAAGAACCGTGGACATCTGGTCCCACCTCAGATACCTCTGATACCACTCCACCACTATGCAGGAGTACTCACACATGTACCCCCTCACGAGTTGCCATTGAAAACCAGGCACTCAAAGAGCACAAATGCAAGGCACAGGTGAACAGAGAGGACTGGGTGACCAACTTGCCTTCCACTGGCCAAACACTTGCACTAATTGCTGTCAATCCTTGGGCTTTTGCCTCTGTCACAAGCCTCCTCCCAGGACCTCCTTCCCAGGCTCACACTCCACTAGGAGCTCTCACATCTGAAGCTCACATCCTCTACTAGCTGTAATGGTCCTACATTGACATTCCTAGCTACTACAATTTGTCCTATGCAACCTTCCTACATCTCCTAGCTCCTGGGTACATCAATATTTGCTGGTTATCGCCCTAGGGACCTCCCTGGACTTTCTAGGAACCCCCTCAAGGGTCACACCTTGCACTCAGTACTACTACTAGGTCATTCCTGTCCTCAGTCGCAGTTCCTGTAGCTCCCTTTGAGCTCCAGCTTGCTCCTAGCATGCTACAACATAAACCCTTCATACCAAATCCACCCCTAAGACCAATTCTGACCCAGGTCTTACAGTACCTCTCTTCTACTCTCCTCCTTCAGGGACTAATGGCATAACAGTGGTGTTGTCACTACTGTCCCATTCAACCCTCTGCGCTTAGACACCAAATGGCCCTTGGCATGGCTTTCCGGTGTACATGATCTTAACACCAGGCATGAAAGAGACCTACATATATAAGGCAAAAACTCACATAAGATATGAAGGCAAGTCATCCATAAGGACAAGTCCTCCACAAACCACAGCCTCATAACCTTCAAATCAGAATGTCTTTCATTTCAGAAACTCTCCATCGGGCACCACGGCCTGAAGCAAAGGAATTAATATGGCTGGTTCATTGATAAGATAGGTGACAAAGGCAAGCAGTGGATTGCATTTCAACTTCGAGGTGAATGAATCAATGTACCAACGCCCTCACAGTAGTTGAAATAGTGAATTTGATACAAATACAAACACGATCCCAAAATTCAACATGTCCTTCATAGTATACTCAATTATCCTAGTTGATCACCACACTGTACGCAGTCCTATCAAGTATGAAAATCAGTTATGACCCCAGAGAGGCGATACAAGAGGTGAACTGACGTGGTGAGAGTAGCTGAACCAGAGGTAGCCTCTGTGCCAGCTTGGAGTGTAGTGAGATACTGCGAAGAACTAAGGCCCTCGTGCTCAATGAGGTACTGTCGCAACAAAAATATGTCAGTCCGATCGCCGACCAGTCAGATATCGGAAAACTCACAGTGAAGAAAGTTTTGATATCTCCGCTGAAGCTGGTGATCGTGGTTCCGGAGGCAGAGGGAAGAAACGACCAGACGGCGTTAGCGCCGTTCGATCCGCTGTACAGGTTCCTAGAGCGCAGAGAGCATTCAATCTGATATCATATTTTTCTAAGGAGATAATGATTGCATACCAGGTCTGTCCAGCGAGAGAGATCCCCGTAGCGACAGGGTTTGGCTGTCCAGCAGAATTGTAGGATGATGAAATAGGGCCCGCATTGTAGTTCGCGAGCCAGATCATGATTTCATTTGTAGCAGAGCCACCCGCGGAGGACGAGGTGAACATATCGTAAGCAACGTCTGCCACAACAGTGCCTGAAGATGTTTGTTTCCAGCTCCATGTGCTCTAGATATCATGACGCAGTGAATATCTTTGATCACATAGCACGGGAATGAGTCAATGAGTGGGATGCCAAGTTGAAGCGAATGTTCAAACGGTATTGGAATCATATACGATATACGCACTGGAATAGTACTGATAGCGCTCAATTGTTGATTTATGCCGGCATTGAGCTGTATGTTGGTGAAACTCTTCACCCCTGTTCCGCCTACCCACTCCCAAACAGTAGTCCACGCGATGGTATTTCCGCTAAGGGATGTGATAGAGGCGCAATCTGAGCCGGACGAGGCACCGGAAAGACCCCATTGGTCAAGAAAGAGTTCGTAATTCCCGGACGTCGACGTGTCCCATTGACCTATGTATGCCAATTTATATGTAAGATGAATGAGAAGCAATTTCAAAATTTTATACCGCAAAATGTTGCACTAGCACCCCTCGTTTCGAGGTTTACGGCCGGAGCTGCAAAGGTATACGGTAACAAAAAGAGAAGGGGGAAGAACTTCGAGGCGGATAACATGGTGTCAAGTGTTGTGAATGAGGTTCTTGACGATCCACAATACGAGTTGCCTTTTCCTTCTTTATAATGTGGGCCAGGAAACATTCATATGGCTCTGGGCACCTGCGCGATATGCCTCCGATCCGAGAAAAGACCACAAAACCAGGGGCATTCTGACAATCCTTGTGAGTGACGATGGTCATACGACAAGTATGTACGGGTTGAGAGTGTGATTACATAATTCTTTGCACCGACGTCTAGGTTGACTAGAGCTTATTAACAGCAAATTTCGAGGGGATTTGATTGGCTGAGAACAGCTCCAACCAATTATTCAGTTCACGTCGAAAAGTGATTTTGCTAATGAGCTCTACTGTGGATAATTTCTAGAGTTTTGCCTTCATTACTGACCGGGGTATTGACGAAGGCCAGCGAAGGCCGCATGTCGGCCTGTGGCGTTACTTATGACCCAATTCTTCTAATGCAACATACGGATTAACGCACGAATGACCAATTAGCAGTTCTGATTTGAGTCATGGTCAATAGTCAATCCCAAGCAAGTCGCACATGTAGGACGCGGAAATACCCAAACGCCTAATAAACGGGAATAGGTATGAATACGCTGATAGACCTGCGATTTGATATCAAGACTTGCAAGTCCGTCAGGAGGGACATTTACACATGCCTTTTTCTCGGGAGGTGGCCATCAAGGTCAAGGAATGGTACCAACGTCCCTTCCAGCTTTTCCGAAATTACTGCTACGGACCGCGACCTGACCGCGACTGAGCGAGTTGCTTGAGTCATTTGATAAGAGACATGTATGGCTGTCCATGTTGGGCCTCCTGAGAAGAGATCATGGCATGAGTCAAGTCGCTAGGCGAACTTCGGAATTCTGCTAAGTAGTGTGAAGACAGCCAGTGTCACTATGGGCGGTATTGGTTTACAGCTTTGTGGGAGATGAAAGACTGTGTGACTTACAACTCAAAAACAGAACCCAACAGCGCCCAGCAGCGTTCGGTTCGATAAGTTCCTAAGAATTTCCACATCGGAATTCCAGACACAGCGCTTGGCGGTCATTTGCTAAGAGAGGTGAAGACGGCGAATTGAAGTCGGAGTATAGCTAAATTTTGAAAAACACAAACTAACGCGGCAACAGCAAGCAGTTTAATTTGAATGGGATGAGCGTTATGGAATGAGCCAATGGGTGAGTTGGAGAGGACATATGAAGGTTGAAGCTTGAAGGGCTTGAAGGTTGGTTGAGGCCAATGCGACCGAGTTGGACGCAGCATAGCCACCGACTTTTCTTGCTAGTCGACGCTCATCATCGCCCATCCAAGCTGAAACCGAAGATCACCCTGGCTCCCCTGACTTTTTGTAACACTTTCACCAAATTAAATCCTTATTGTTGCTGTGCATGGTAATATCTGGAGATAGATGTGTGTGAGGTATTGCAGCTGAGACACGGGCTGACTCGACTCCGAAGTGCAAGAAATTTATGTCCAAGTACGCTTCGCAGAATGTCATATTTACAATGAACATACCTCAACTCACATTTGTATGCTTGTAAGCGTTCGTAGAAAACTCATGAAGGATATTGTGACAGTCTCGAGTTTCAACCGGAGTCCTCCGTATCTAATCTCAGGTGTTCATCTAAAACTTTGGATTCAATTTACTGTTCAGTCTGGCGAAACAACCGATTGACGTTCATATCTAAGGACCCGTCTCATCAATATTATTCCACTGCCCAGGCTGTGCATTGACGCAGAGTTCGGTACTAATCTCCTCTCGGACGAGAATGAGTTTGACAGTACGAGTTTTGAATCTTTGTTGGGTTGTCACTAACAACACACACTGACGATATGTTGCGACTTTGACAGATCTGCTGTACATTGCCTAAATGACTCCAATAGAGCGATATAAGAATACCTATTGCAAACCCTCAACTTCATTATCTACGTTCCCATTTGTACCTTCTCTCCTCCTTTCTTACTAACCTTCTTGATCACACCTCATGCCTACCAGGATCCTTGTACTACATGGGTATGTCAGTATCAAATCCCCAGTGCCGTGTACTGATTAGATATGGATCTCTGTACAGCTACTGTCAAAATGCTTTCCACGCGTACCGCAGAGTAAGCTTCGTACCATTCATGCATACCTGTCCAAGGAGTATTCATCCAAGATATTTAGCTTGCTCCGGTAATCGAAGGATGTGGAGATCAAGTTCAATTCTGTGAGCCATGTTCTATATACTTGGATTGACGCAACTTCTCATTCATTCTCCTAGATTTCCTCGACGCTCCTATGAACATGTTACCCGTCGATCCCAAGGCTCACTTTGGTAACATTACGGATGTACGGGATACTCGGAAATCTGTTCCAATGTGTTCAACGCCAACAATGTATCCGTCAAAATCTGACGCTAATCGCGCATGGTTCAAAATAAATGACGTGGGCCGCGACTCATTGCCTGGGATTGAGCAAACTTGGGTGTATCTCCGGGACATTCTAAAGCAACATAGGTTCGATGTTAGTACCTCCTTCCATTCAGTTTGTAATCGTGGCTCACGATGATTTGCAAATCAGGCTATTTTTGGGTTCAGTCAAGGTGCTGCTATGGCCGAGCAGATCTCCGCAATGGTACGACCTCAGAACCTCTGTCATGAAACCAACTTATGGTGTTTTGCCTTCAAGCTTGAACGCCCGCACCTATTTCCAATCTTTTGCGAAAATGGTATTGCGCCTCATCCTACGTTGTATGTTGAATTTTGTGTTCCAACTCTGAACTATGTTTAACACTATCTTTTTACCAGAGATTTCATTGCCTGTGTCTCAGGCTTTCTGATTCGAGGACCAAAGCTTTCTTGGGAGTCGGACTCAGCCTGCAAGACTGCCATTGCTGCGCCTGAGTTTGGATTCGCCATAAACACCCCGGCTTTATATGTGGTAGGACAAACCGATATTGTCGTGCCACCGGAGCGATCACATATATTCGTGCAACATTCCAAGTTCCACAGAGTAGAAGAGCATCATGGAGGTCAGTATTATAAGAATGAAAGAGATAATTTGGTTCTGATTTCTTATTTTTACAGGTCATTTCATTCCACTCAAATCTAAATGGCCTCAATTCTTCATTTCATTTTTTCTCAATCCATTTGCGGAGATTTCGTCGCCTACCCCATCTCTATCCTCAACGCCATCTTCAATCGCGTCTACCGATGACGAGAATTTCGGCCTGGCTACGCCTAGCACACACGCATCAGCATATGAGACAGGTCAGACACTTCCACGGCGCCCTGATGATCTTGTTCATCAAGAGAACGAGTTTGAAGAGGAGCAGTACCTTTTCTCTGTCGTCTATGACACTGGTTCGGATCTTGAATACCTTCCGTTGTCGGCGCTATCATCTCCTCCAGACACACCGTTCTTGCGGACACCTCAACTTCCAGTGCTGGAGCTGGACGAACCGAGCATAGTCGTGCACTCCGATAAGCACGACTTCGATGTAGTCGCGGACCTTTTCCCGTCCGTACCGGTCCCTAAACGAACTGCTTCACATGATGCTGAGTCGGTCAAGTCTAAACTATAACGGAAACCAGGAGGTAATAATTGTATTGATTTTTCAAAGGTTCCTCGTTTAAATTATTGAACACATGCATTGCATTCACAAGTATCTATTCTTATCCTACTGTATCATATGTGGTAACTTCAGAGTAACTCTCAAAATAGGCAATCAAGTACTGTACAGTGTAGAGAAATGTCTATACATAGTAATTCTGTCCGATGTATTAACTCAGTTCTTAAATTTCTTTTCGAATTTCGTGCACCATGCACCAGCCTACAATGGCACGCGACGGTCCTGTCAATCTCCGTCTCGGACCGCTGCTAAGGATCTTCGCACCTTGTACTCGTGCCTCCGACTTTTGAACTGGTTGCTACACAGTGTTACACTTTGCTACGTCACTTGAACTCAAATTCCAGATGTTCCTGGTTAATATTCGGAGGCACTTCGACGATTCATCTGAAGGAGCTTGCTTATTTTTGACCGCGTATAAAAGAGTGCCAAGATGCCAGAGAACACGATAACTTGCGGACTTCCAAGCAATTGCGACTCCCGCAACTCATACGACATACGTAGTCAATTTCTCCTCGAGTCCTCAGTATGCTCTCCCCGCTTAAATTATCCACGAGTCTGTTGACTCTCTTGCCGTTCATTCTCGCGGCTCCTGCCCCTGAGGTCGATAAGAGGGCCACAACGTTCTGTGGTGAGTGCGAGAATGAAGTCCTTGCTACTTGAAGCTTCAGTCTTCGCGGTGATTATATAACTGATTTTCGATTTTTTAAACTAGGGCAATGGGATACATCCAGTGACGGAAACTACGAACTTTTCCTTGACCAGTGGGGTCTTTCTGATGCCACTTCCGGCTCAGATTGTGCCTCTATCACCTCCCTCAGTGGAAACACCATCGCGTGGACCACAACTTATACGTGGGTAGGCGGTACTGGGATAAAGAGCTTCACCAACATGCAACTCAATGCGGGTATCAACCAGCAACTGAGCGCCATCAGTAGTATTCCTGTCTGTACATCTCTTGTTTTTGAAGACACTTTCAACTCATTCAAAGATATAGAGCGTATGGGACTGGACAATCAGTACCTCTGGTACGATTGTTGCAGATGTTGCCTACGACATATTTACATCGGCTACCTCTGGTGGATCGGCCGCTAACGAAATCATGATTTGGCTTGCTAACTATAACGCTGGTCCAATCTCGTCGTCATACAATGCTGATGGACAACCTAATCCTGTTGCGAGCGATATTTCGATTGCTGGATATTCTTGGTACTTCATCGTATGACAAGTGCATTGGTTGTGACTGACCAAGAGCCTAATTTTTTGTAGGAACCTCTATAGCGGCTCCAACGGCGCTAACGCTGTCTGGTCGTTTTTGCCATCTACAAGTGGGACGACAATTACTAGTTTCAGTGGAGACATAAAACTCTTCTTCAACGTGAGTGCAAGTATTTTTCTACTAGGAGCAAGTCTTAAATGTTGAATTTGTATCTTGGCGCAGTATCTCACCACTAATGAAGGTCTCAGCACTTCGCAATACCTTACTACTTTCCAGGCTGGAACAGAAGCTACCTCTGGGTCTGCCACACTCACTACGTTTGTGTTTCTTTCACTTGAGATGTATGTTCGCTACTCTGACTTGCTGTTCTAGAACCAGCTATAGTGCTAGCATCGAGTGAAATCTGAATCAAGACATCAGCTTGAAGAGGAACTTAAGTCGTGGTAATTTATTAATGAAGTTTTACCGTTTGAAATTCTGCGAGGTTCGCGAAGCGATAGCAAGACAATCCCAAAATTAACCAGTGAACGCGTGTATATTGTGTTACCCCCCACAAAGTCCTAAACTGCACGAAATGCAGGAAAATTAGAAGTCGACTCCCGAGTACCACGATAAGGCTATAGAACAGTGAGAGCTATTTATGAGCCATTCTTCCACGCCACTCACATGTTGCGGAAATTTCGGAAAGCGAATCAAATTTGAAATACATAAAGTTACACATTGACCACCACGACGTTCTTCAGTTTTCTTGTTTAATTCGTTTCCTTCCTGTTACATTGTGCCGCTCTAGTCCTTCTGTCCCTTCACCCTAGTCTCTCATTTATCTTTCCGTTGGATTTCTCTTCACAACCTGCCGCTGCAGTGTATACTCTCATACACTTGTATGCTCTCATGTCAAAGGTTCTCGGTCACAAACATACGGGATCCGTAACTCAAAATCAAAAAGCGCATCTTGCTCATGCTTATAATGAACTTGGAAAGGAGCTGTCATCGCATAAACTGAGAGTTGTAGGGAATTACACTTTGGGTAGGGTCATTGGCGAAGGTGAGTTCCACATCGGATCTAATGACCCACTGCTGAATTTGTACTGTAGGTGCCTATGGTAAAGTGCGAATAGGCACTCATCGGCTGACTTCGACCCGTGTCGCCATTAAACAAATACCTAAGTCCATGTCTGCCTCGCTTACTCGCGAAATTCATCACCATCGCCAGCTACATCACCCTCATGTCACACAGATGTATGAAGTCATTGCAACCGAATCTTCCATTTGGATTGTCACTGAGCTTTGCTCGGGAGGAGAGCTCTTCGACTATCTGACCGAAAAGGGAAGGTTTTCTGAAGATGAGACTAGATTATTGTTTGGTCAGTTGTGTCTCGCCGTCGCACATCTTCATGAAAAGGGCATCGTTCACCGGGATTTGAAGCTGGAAAATGTCCTGCTTGATGAACGCTGTCGAGTCAAGCTTGGTGATTTCGGCTTCACCCGCGAGTTTGAGCGCGGAGTTTTGATGGACACCTATTGCGGAACAACTGGTTATGCTTCCCCAGAGATGCTACAAGGAAGGAAATACTTTGGTGCTGGTCAGTGGGCCATGGCTCGATCGGAAATGTCACTAAATATTTCTTTAGAGGTGGACATATGGTCTCTTGGTGTCATCCTATATGTTTTGCTCACAGGAATGCTGCCCTTCGACGACGACGACGAACAGATCATGCGCGATAAAGTCATAGTAGGCGAATTTGAGGATCCAGAATGGTTATCAGCAGGTATGGCTTACTTCTTACAATTTTGATAAATCCTAATGCTGGGTTCAGACGCTCGAGATTTAATCAAAAACATCTTACAGAAAGAGCCCTCAAAACGCTTGACTATACCTCAAATCCTTGAACATCCTTGGTTCGCATCGAATGCATCGAATGACCCGAATACCATCTTTGTTCGTGAGCCGCGGTCGCGTGCCATTTCTCCACTGCCGAATCCTCCCATACACGATATTGCGGACTCTGCTCTCTCTTCAGAGGCCTCTACTACCGACTCAAGTGTAACCTCACATCTAGAGTCTAGTACATCCGCGCCCACTACTCCTGACCACTCAGTCGTTGACCCCTTTGAGAATAACCAACCTACTACCACCTTCCATCCTAACATGAGCGAAACCACTATTCGAAAGGTCAACGATGAACCCAAAGCTACGCTTCATCATCCTGAAACTGTCACAGAAGAGGGTCAAAACGAGGACGCGGTCCTCGAAATACCGCTGAATCTTCAACGTCAGCGTACAAACTCTTCTGGACGTTCCTCTGCCCCTCCCGTCCACACAGTACGGACTCCAGCACGTACAAAACGACGTTCTGTATCGTCGACACTGTCAGACCCTGAACACGACCCGACACCTAATGGCACGGAGAAATCACTACCGCAGAAAGATATTGATCTTAACTTCTCCTCATTATTGTTTACACCAGCTCCGATAATATTCTCCACACCGCTGGAGCGGGAGCTGCTGAACGTTATGAGTTTACTTGGATTTGATCTTGGTCAAATTGTATATTCAGTACTCAATGATGCCTGTGACTCCGCAGGAGCTGTGTGGTGGATGTTGAAGCGCAAGGCAGAGAAAAAGCTACTAGAAGAGGGCACTGACAGCCTCTTCAGTGGCATCGGAACCGACGGTACGTTATCGCCAACCATCGACGAGCATCTAGGAAAATATCGTTCCTCGTCGTCAAGCAGGAGAAAGAAACATAACATGGGTATTCAAACTGAGAGTACACCCCCTCATCTCAATCTCTCAAAAGCCACCCCACAATTGACATTTATCCCGGCTACACCAACATTCCCCCCTCGTCCTTCTACACCTCCACGACCAGTTTCCCCATCACCCTCAAGGTCTCCAATGTTGACGCCATCATCGTCGGTAGTCATTGACGCTTCCAAGTCACACCCGACAACACCCGGGAGCAGCAGTGGCCCCAAAGGTAGAAAGAATCGTGCAGGCAGTGTCAGTATCATGCAGCGCGCGACTACCGCACTTGAAGCAGCCGGATTGGTGCGCAAAAAATCCTCAGAAGCAGTCCGGGAGGAACGGGAGAAGGACAAGGAGAAAGAACGGGAGCTCGAGAAGAAGAATGAAAGGAAGCTGACCGGAGGGTCAATCGAGGAACGACCGAGGTCTTCGCATGGAAGCGTCTCGTCGTGGCGAAAATCCCCTCCCTTAAGACCCTCCAAAGATCCCTCGACTCCCCCTCCCAGCGAACTACATCATCCCCAGCCACACATAGGATCCCCGTGGGTTCTTGCCGATACGCAGGAATCACCACCTCCCCAATCAGGGTCAAATGCCTCTCGAATTGCACCTACACCAGCCAATTCCCCTGGAGCTTCGGATCCGTTCGTTTCCCCTGATAATGGAGGCTTCAATAGTAATTCAGTCTCAAAGTCATCAACTTCTTCACATAGGAATCGAGCAAACCTGCTTACTGCGTTTCGGCTGTGGTTCCAGGAGGACCGGAAAGGAAAGCGGAAGGAGAACAGGGGAGGTAGCACGTCTCTCAGAACTGGTGGAGGGTCTGGGCAAAGTTATAGCTCCGCTAATGTTAAACGTCGCACAAGCTCTGGGAACTCTGCCAACCAGCTTATCAATCGACGTGGTGGTCGACGACCTCAGCGTCCATCGATGTCTTCTCGCAGGTCGAGCAGTGTTAATTCTCGTACCAGCGTCACCTCAGTGCAAATGGTTCTATTAGATTCGCCCCAAGTCGCCGGACGAAGATCATTTGGTAGCCACACCCCAAATTCGGACCGAGCAGATTTTGCCCCCAACTCCTCTAGACCTTCCTCTGTCCGAAGTTTCTCTACCCAACAACGTCATAGAAAGAGTCCATCCGTTAGCTCAACTGGTTCTGTTCATTACCGCGCGACGTCACCCATGCAAACAAGGTATCATCGTCGAGGGGGCTCGGGGTCTTCTACAACCACACGTGTAGTTCGCCAACCTGGAACACCCTCTAATTCTGGAAGACCGACGCATGTGCGGTCCAGTTCAGCAGCATCTTCAATTCATTCTCCCCCATCCTCACGACCCACATCGTTTATTGATTATAATTCTGATTACGAAGGTGGTGGAGGCGTTCGAACATCATCTCCGTACAAAATTCGTCGATCATTTGAGGAGACAACACCCCGGCGGCCGACGGCGACGACATTTGTCGCCCAAAAAAGGCAGGGGCCTTTCGCAAGTCCCCTCCATGGCCACGGATATGGCGGAAGTGTAGGCCGTTCAAGTTGGAAAAAAGCTTGGGGATTAGAACCACCGGGTTGGAGAACGCGCGGTGCTCAAGCGGTAGAAGTTTTAACCATTTCCCCGTCAGAAGGCACAAGCCTACGAGATGTGTTCTCTGGCCCGGGACGATTGTCGTTGAGCTTGGGGGATGAAAGCGACTGGGTGGATGAAGACGACGATATACCATACGCTGTCGGCCTTGGTCAAATGACGGTGATAAGTCCTGGTTCTAGTGGTTCTGGACCTAACTCAAGTGGTGACGGTGCTGTACTGCTGGGGCCTGCACCGCGTAGACCGAGCGCTGGTACTGGAAAGAGGGGGAGCAAAGGTCGGAAGGCTTCGCCCATTGAGCGTGCTCCTCCTGTGACAAGTGATACCTATGAGATACCGGAACCACGAGGGGGGAGGCGTCAGCTTCCCGCGGGTCGATCCTCCGGTCCTGCATTCAAACAGATTATGGAGGAGGACGAAGAGGAGGAAGAGGAGTAAGGAATATCATTTTACTCTTGCAACTTTCTTTGTGCTATTTTCTTTTCTTCCCATGCGTCTTGTCATTCTAACTCCCCTTCCTTTGTTTTCCACTATTTCCTCTTTGTGTTTTCTGACTTGTATCTTATCAAATCTCTTGTCCTAAACGTTACTAGACGCTATTTTGGTTCTAACTCCCATCACCTTTTTTATTTATGATATCGTGCAATACGTGTTTGGCTATGGACCATACAGGTTGCATTATTATTGAAGAGAGCCTGGACATCCACGAATACGTTGATTCATCGCCACTAGTACCATCATTTTGTTCTTTAACCGGTGGTCTGCATGCTTACATGTATATGATTTTCGTCGTTCACATTTTCATCGTTCCACGATATGGTTCAGAGTGAATCGGTGGCGATGAGATGACCCTCTTGCGCCGTGTCGCTAACGTATCTTATACAGTCATACATATTCGAATAGCACAATGTACTGTGCGATTGCGACACAGATGACTGTAATTCGAAGGCGTTGCCATCATTCCAGATGCAGGGCAATAACTGAGCTATTCAGGTGCTTTGGTAGGAGACTCCCGCACACAAATTCACATGTGTTTGTAGAGGACCTCCAACGACTCCCTCAGAGGCTTGATAGGGCTTGATCCTCAAAAGGTTGATTCTTACCCACGCTTCCTGAGCTCGGATTTGGACTTGTCTCCCAAAAAGTGATCATCCTTACCCGCTCCAAAAGATCAGGCACATGTTGAGTGATAACCTCAGTTGATAAGAGAAACAACTGTAATATTATATCTATATACCTGTTGAGTGATAACCTATAGTACTTGAGTAAGACTAAGGACTAAGAAAAGAAATAAGTAATCTCACCTCAGTTGATAAGAGAAACAACTGAGGGAGTATAAAATCATGTATCGAATATTATATGGTAATCGAGAAATATAGGGGTAAGTTAGAATCGGTGGCCGGAAGGGTCACACAGGACAAAGCTGAGCATACGGAGTACCAGTCCAACACCCCCCCTACTGCGTATGATCCAGATTAAGCATTTGAATGATTCGAGCATGCGTAGTCCCCGAAAGAGCCTTCGTCGTGATGTCTGCAACATTTTCTCCACTCCGAACACGGATTACCTTCACACTTCCATCCTTCACTCTTTCCCTGATGTAATGTTCACGCATGTCAATGTGTTTGATAAGTGAATGATTCCTCGGTTCCTCTGACAGTGACACAGAACCAAAGTTGTCGCCATGGAGGAGAGTCGGACCACTAAGCGGAAGGTCAATCTCTTGAATAAATGATCGAAGCCAGCAGGCTTGCTGACAAGCTTTCGAGAGCCCAATATACTCAGCCTCCACTGTAGACAATGCAACCGAGCCCTGTCTCTTCGATGCCCAGGACACTGGAGCACCACCCATGAAAAAAACGTAGCCAGCAGTAGATCGACGAGTCACTAGACAGGAAGCCCAATCGCTATCCGAGTAACCCAAAGGTGCAAGGCCGAAACCAAGGCGGTCATCCCCAGGTTTAGGAGCTCGATAGGTAATAGAATAATGAATAGTCCCGCGAATGTAACCAGCTAGCCACTCGCAAGCTTCCCAATGGATAATACCAGGATTAAGTTGGAAACGAGCGAGGAAATTTGAGGCGAACGCGATGTCGGGCCTTGTCGAGCAAGCCCCCCAGAGTAAGGATCCAACGAAAGAACGATAGGGTTTATCCGACATGAATTTTCGGTCAAGTTCAGGTAGTGGATTAGTTGATTCAACGATTTTCGCCTTGGGATCTAAAGGAGTGCGACGAATACGGACATTTTCCATCCCAAAATGTTCCAGCATCCGTTCGAAGTACAACTTTTGAGAAATAGTGATGGATTTGGAGATTGGGTCTTGGGAGATGGTCATTCCTAGAAGAACGCCCGAATTGACTTCACTTGATTCCCATCTCTTTCCCAAGTCTGCAATGGCTTTCTTTCTACCATCTTCAGTCGAGGAAGCGCCATTGACGTCATCGCCGTACGTGGTGGACAGTGTGTACTCGTCGACGATTCGACGATAACGTACACAGGGATCAGCCTTCGAAGCGATATAGCCATCCTCCTCATATCCCTTCCCCAACGTGTCTTGCCAATCGTGGCTACCCTGCATAGTCCCATAAATAGACTTGTTGAGTTTACAGACCTTGTGTTCTTCACCTTCCTTGATGAATCCTTCAGGCTGCTTAATATATACATCGTGTTGGATAGGAGAGTTTAGGAATGCAGCTTTGAAGTCAACCTGGAACATGAAAAGTCCGAGGACTGCAATGACCGCGAGGACGATGCGAACGGATTCCATACGTGCAACAGCACCGTAGGTCTTGTCGTAATCGACCCCCTCTATCTGTGTGAATCCCTGAGCTACATATCGAGCTTTTCGCTTGGCTACCTCACCATCCTTCGACCATTTTATTGCATAAACCCACCTCCCTCCTGTAAGATTTGCGTTCGGGGGAAGATCCACCAGCGTCCAGCAGTTTTTATCCATGAGCGTGTCGTATTCCGCTTGCATTGGCGCCTTCCAAAGTTCGGGACGACATATAGCCTGTTTGTATGTGTTCGGGACCCACTTGTCACTAGATTCAGCACCAAAAGCGAACGGACTGTTCGCCACCATCGCGAGGGGGTTTGAGTTTTCGTCAAGTTCGTCTATACCTCCAGAGTCGTGAGCCCAAGCGAGATTTCGCTCAAAAGCGCTACGTTCTCTTTCTGTTGATTCCTCAGATTGTAGTTGTCGTGCTGATGGCTCACGTATGCGAGTACCACGCCTCGGGCCAGCTTCTGGTTCCTGGATAGGTAATGCCAAGGGTTGAAATGAAGGTTGAGCCCCAAATAATTCCGGAATGCCATCGTAGCTAGGAGTGGAAGGTGTAGTAGGCGTCGAAGGGATGGATGCGTTTGGAATATCAATTTGATTTTCGTTAGCCGGGGAATCAGGCACGGCATTTGGAGCCGGACCGACGTCGACATCAACAAACACCTCTCCATCAACTTCATCTGGTACCGCGGGGGCAGATCTTTGAGGGTCACCTTCCTCAAATTCGACACTACAAGATTCGTGGAACGTTTTAGTCTGTGGCAACCAAACTCGATAGCCCCTTCTGCCGATATACCCAACAAAACGTCCTTCGACAGCCCTAACTCCAAGTTTTCCATCCGTCTGGATTGCGTCGAGAGTTACCCAGCACTTGCAACCAAACGGTCGGAGATGGGAAACATCATGACGTTTCTTGGTGTATATTTCGATAGGGACTTCATTTGGGAAGCGAGAAGAGGGAATGAACGCGTTCACGTAGCAGAAGGTGAGTGCTGCTTCAGCCCACATCGAAGGAGGGAATCCGGCATCAACAAGGAAGGTCCTGACTCCATCCAGTACAGTTCTATTCGCTCTTTCAGCTACTCCATTAGCTGCGGAGGACCTAGGTGGAATCATTTCGATAACTATACCATGCGTTCGACAGTAATCCCGGAACCATCCATTATCAAACTCCCCACCACCATCTATCCGGAAAATCAATACCTTGAGGCCTGTTTGCCGTTCCGCCATTGTACGCCAGTCATGAACCGCTGCCAGAACCGTCTCTTTTCGCTTATTCGTCAGGAAACTCGGAGCTTTGACTGAAGAACGACCATCTGTTGCAAGAAACATCCATATCGCCCCTCCAATGCTCTGGGTTCGAGTCGGACCAAAGAGATCAAGATGTATACGTTCGAGGACCTTTGTTTCATGCGTAAGTTTTTCGTCAAACGGTCGGTGAGTCGATTTCCCGAAGATACACGGTTCACATTTACCATCCACTTTCTTAGAAGTAATTTGCAATCCGTCGACCAGATTATGTCTATGCATCTGGAGTATTCGATCTGTAGCCGGATGTCCTAGTCTGCGATGCCACGTATGAATATCGACAGGTTTGTTATGCGATCTAGCGAAGTTTACGACTGGGGGCGTGAAGTGAGCTTGGACCTCATACATCGTTCCCTTCCCTTTGCCCCGCATGACGATACTTCCATTCGCAGTCCGGACAGTGAGTGATCCCCTACCCCATTCTCCTTTCATTCCTTTGGCATCCAGCGTTCTCAATGAAATCAGGTTATGATGAAAAGATGGTGTATGATAGACGCCATTCA